TATTGAATCATGTTTAACATGAACCTTCACTTTAACCAAAAACCTTAAATCATGCAAATCAGCAACTCCAGAAACCAATGCATAAATATCCAGATCATTTTATTATAATAGTCTTAATTAATATTCAATTTCAATTTTCTTTTTATTTTATAGTTTAAAATTTTATTTTATTTAAAACTGGAAACACTATTGCTAACACATTTCCACTTTGCTATCCTTTCCAATTGGTTGGTAGTTTGAAAGGACAGAGGAAGAGTGGAAGTCAGCTTATGTGGAATTCCTATTGTTGAATATTTGCTCTGATGACGATTTACCATGAACATCATTTTTCTAAAGAATAGACTAAAATGTACTAATATATACAACATTGCATATTTCTAAAGAACAAAATTAGAGACTAATAGCTGTTAATTTTTTTGCAAAAACTATGTAAGGAGCATAGTATTTTGTCAACCTGATTATTTGTCTCCTACTTTATTATGAAGTTCATTCAAAATTATCCATCCTTATGACTTTTCTAAGGGAAAGGCATGTCAACTTTTCCAACTTCAGTTACCACCTTTTTATTATTTAAATTAAGAACGACAACACTGTATAACATACACTGAGAGCTGTACTGTGAAGATCTATGCTTGGCTCTTCTTGAAGAGGATCTGTTTGATGCAGACTTTTTTTTTTTATAAATATAAAGGCATAGGGAAAATGTTTTTCATGATCCGCAATCATGATAACACACCCAATCTTGATACCCTTTCTCACTGACCTGGTACTAAATATTTAATCACTTTTATATTATATCAAAATTTTTTAATATTGAATGTTTTGCTATGTGCCTGGAGAGATGGCTCTGCAGGTAAAAGCACTTGCTGATCTTGTAGAGGAACCATGTTCTCTTCTCAGTACCCACAGTATATCCCTGGGCAGAAAAGTGGAATTCTTGGTCCTAACAGTGGCCCAATTTCATCTAAAAATGATCACATTTTACACATTGTAGATGAACCATAATGTTATTAAAGCTTCCTAAATTATGAGTTATACCACAATGGAACTGAAACAATAACTGTCTAGCAAAATAGTTCAGTCTTTTATGTTTGCAACCTCCACATTACTAGGTATACGGATATGAAGGTTCTTTTGTACAATACTGTGGTGCTTTCACATGGTAGGAGGTACAGAACCCAGTATAGCAGCTTCTGGAAATATGTGATACTTTTCTAGCCTTTCTCTCATTCTTAAAAATTATAAATCTGTATGTAAGTTAGACAGCGAGGGGTGTGTGAGAGAGAGAAGGAATGATTGAAAGATGTGTTTATTATACTGGTCTTTCAACTTTCCATGAGCTTTCCCATTGGTTAAAGTTGAAAAGGAATGGTTGATAGAATTACTTTTTAAAATATTTTGGGCATGAGCAAAAGTCAATTCTAAAAATCAATTCCTAACACTATTTTTTAAATTCATACTTTCAGCTGTATTAAAAATTCAAAGTTAATATTATGTGAAATACTTTATAATTTTTTTAAGACTTTTAGACTTTCATATACATTTTATATCCTTATTTTAGATAAACATAAAATGTTGGCATTAGGATCAGGATCACAGAGAGCTAGGGAGGAATTATTACTGTCTACTTGAGTTGTGTCATCGTATGATGTATTATTCATTATATATTATTAGACATTATGATATATGTCATTTTGGTACTTTTGGAAATAAATTTTTTAACATCATTGGTATTTTGCAAATGACATTAGAACATGAAAGGATCAACATAGAATATGAATATGTAAAAATGGAGTTTGTAAGAGTATTATATGTAATAATTTTTTTAAACAAAATCAAGAATTTTTTACTTCCTTTTGTTATAGAAAGGGTATCTTAGCAATGCTAAATTTTAAAAATATACATTATACTACAAAGTCTTAGTTTTATAGTTTGATTTTCATGATTTGTTTGTTTTTCTTCAGTTTATTTTATTACTCTATTTAAAGCAGAACATAATTAGAGGTTCTAGAAAATACTTTGCATTGACATTTTTATTTCCAGTTTTAGCCAAATAATCACATAATTATTTATGGCAAAGTCAAGATCATTTTACAGCTTTACTAATCTGAGGAAGAATTTTGATGTATTAGATTATTTCCTTTTTGATGTTTTAATTATTGAATCATGTGATGATCCATCCTTTGTAATATATATGCTCCAATCGACACAGCACAATGCAGCTCTTCCTAGTACTTTGGAAACTATGTTATCAAATCACCTTTCACAGAAAGGTGTCAATCATTCAGTCCAGTAACAAAAGACTGATGCAGCCAACTCTTCCTAAACTGAGGAAACTGAGCCACAAGGGCAGCTTCAGAACTTACCGGTGTATTGCCACAGGCATCAGGCTTCAGAATCAGCACCTATAACCAAACCCAGACTGCCCAGATGCTGTAAAATTGTTCTCTATGAAGATTAGAGTGATCTGATAGTGTTTTCAAAGCATCATTTTCCAAGTTACTAGTTGCACATATCACCTTTGTTTATAAAATTTCAACTAATTTAATCATAGTGTATGTGCTAATCAGAAGGCCCTGGAAGATGGCATAGTTACATATTTCTTTCAATTCAAAATTATTTTCTTTCAGATTAGATATTGAATGCAGATATAAAACAATGTCTGACTTCATTTGTTAATACAAAATCTCATTGGAATTTAAAACATACAATTCTTTTTAAAACAGAGTAGAAATTCGTGAATGCGTGGTTGGCATAGATGAGTAATATTTGTTGGTTACAGGGACATTTCACTGAATAGTACAATGAAATAATGAGCTAATGAATGCAAATTAACTACAAAAATTTTAAGGTATAGTACTCATATAAGATAATGCATAAATATATTAATTTTATTCAAGAGATTTGGAAGTTTTGAAATTACTGATTTAACAATGATACTTAGAAACTATCAGAGGCTATGGATTTTTTCATAGATGTTTCTACATCTATTATAGCATATAAATCCTGAAAGTAAACTTTTTTAGAAGTATTTCCATACGATAATTTTTTATGTAGGTTACAAAAGAGAGCTTTTTTTAATCACTACAGTGGAGCTATTTCATGTGATTGGTAAAGTCAATGTATTGTGTAGACTTTTTTTTATAATTTTGTAGATTGCAAAATTGTGACATTAATAATCTAAGTTATGTGGGTTTGTTATCATTATTAGATACTTTTAGTTATAAGATCGTGGGTATATACCTTTTTTAATCACAGCAGTTTAGGATTAAATTAAAAATACAGAGATGCAGATAGAACAGTAAATTAAGGTTACCAAATTTTCATCTGAATGCAGAAGACATGCAAGTGATTATACAGTATTTTACTTACTATTGGGAATTTTGATTATATTATGAAGGATTCTGCTAGCTATAGATTTTACGCTAAAACTTTTTACTACTGACAATGTAAACACTTTATAATATCATTTAAAAATGAATGAGAATGCAAACTAAATGCAAATATTTCTAGAACATGCTGTACATAGCATTATACCATACCAGCAGCTTGGTACAGAATTATTTACAGTATTCCACACTGGCAGTATGTACTGGGATTCATCTCTTACTTTATTCATGAATGGGTATAATATATTATGCACAATTTCAAATTTTATAAGTAATCTATACTGTTTAGTTTCTGTGTACACATGAACTATGTAGGATTATGCATGGAAAAGACACAGTATATATGTGGATGCTTTAAAGCTCTGAGAAATAAATTATAATTTTTTCCAAAATAAAAGAAGTCTAAGACAATATGAGAAAAATATTTCTGGACAAATACCTTCCCTTCTTACTCATCTCTGCCAGAAACATTCACCATTCTACCTTTTATCATCTGTCTATGTACACATACTTGATTATATACAGATATTTGTATATTTCTGTATTCTTAGAGTAATTATTTTAGGCCATGTTTATTTGATTATGCAGATGACAGTTGAATAAATATTTCAAATGCATTTCTTAAAATAGATACAGGATCTGGTTTTAGTAGCACACCTTTAATTCAGCACTCAAGAAAAAAAGAAACAGAGGCAGACACTTTAAGATGGAGGCTAGCCTGGCGAACATAGTGAGAATTCATTTCAAAAACAAAACAAAACCAGACACCCTGAAATAACTATAAGAGCTGATTATGGCTCTGAAGAAAATGTGCTTATTGCACAAAGTTGAGGCCCTGAAGTTGAATCCTCCAAGACATAAAGCCAGGCGTGGCAGTACGCACATCTGCAAACCCAGCATGCTCTTGGAGAGAAGACACAGAGAAGAAATCTGTGAAATCTCCTGGGCCAGCTTTCCTGGCATATGCAGCACATAAAAACTCCTACCTCAAATGAAGAGGAAGGCAAAGAGAACTAGAATCTGAGGTTGTCTTCAAAATTCACACATGCATTGTGTCACATGTATATTTGTATTCAGACATGTTAATGCCAACACACACACGTGTGTTTGTATGGCTATATATCCCCAAATAAAGATTACAAAGAAATTATGAAATATCAAATACACTATTGCTAAATTTTATAATGTTCTTAATTATTTGCTTTATTTATAAAAATGTTTAATGTAGATTTCTCTATTAATATAATAAATAAACGTGATTATTTTGATCATATGGAATTTTAGAAATAGTTCAAGCAGAAATATAAATATTTGCTCAAGATTATTATGGCTCAAGATATTTAATGAATGATCCACTGGATGGCATTGGTATGATATGGCCTGTAATTTACATACTGATTGAATTTTTATTGAAATGGAAGTTTGGACACAAAGTATAAAAATACGTAGCTCTGTAAAAAGAAGTAAGTTTGTGTTGCTTCATGGTCATTTCTGCTATCATCTCATTTAAAAGCATGTAATAGACTAAAATCAGAGAAGTTTGCCAGCTCAGTTCCTCAGCTGGTGGAGAATCTCTTGAGGGGTAACTAATTGCCTGTGTATTCTGTCTAGGTGTTGAGGGAGAGCTGAGAGGATGAAGGCTCTAAGTCCCCAGTGGAAGCATGATATGGCGGCGCAGAGCTGGTGCTGAATTGTCCTCTCTGATGGCTCTATGGGAGTGGATAGTACTGAGTCTTCATTGCTGGGTTTTAGCGGTTACTGCTGTCTCTGACCAGCATGCCACAAGCCCCTTCGACTGGCTCCTCTCTGATAAGGGACCCTTCCATCGCTCACAGGAGTACACAGATTTTGTGGACAGAAGCCGACAGGGATTTAGCACAAGATACAAGATATACAGGTATGAAGGAAAAGCAATTGCAGACATCATACTTGGAGGTTGTGTGAAAATAAGGGTTGCTCCTGTGGAAAGTCTTGGAAGGATTATCACTGACAAAACACCACAGTGATATTTTCATGCTATCTAAAATTATTGCTTGTAGTGTGATGTATTATTAGAAAAACAGGTAGCTTGTTGTATAACTCTATCAATTTTGAGAGTACATGCCAGTGTTCTTGAAGGCTGTTTTTCATTAGGAATGCACATGATTAAAAATTACTTTTATAGCTTTTATCAGGTGATAGCACCCTTCTTCAGCCTAAATGGGAATGAAACCTTCTACTAGTCACTGTGTGTGCTAGGAGAGTGCTCTTTTACAAGAATGTAACTGTATATTCTTAAGCTTGGGGAAAAAGTCAAGGTATGACTATAAAGGAACACCAGACAGGTGGAGATGATAGCAAACAACCCAAAGAGGATTAAGATATATGGCTGCTAACTTTTATAATTCCTTTAAACTTGAAGTCTAAGTAAGTTGTACAAAAAAAGTCATTGAAATCATCAAAAGATGCTTATTCCCACACAGCCCAGAGATTATATTGAAAAGATCATTGTAGCAGGGGTCACTTGGATGAATTAGATCGTATTTATTTTTTGTCATTGAGAATGTTTATGCAAATTATTGCTTTAGATTGTGTCTTCGCGGCAGAGTTGGCAACTTCCAATTGTTGGCATTTATGAAGAATCAGACCTACCTCACTGTTTTTGTCAGTGTCTATGCAGATAAGGCTGTATAAATATTTTATTTTCTGCACTATGTGCACCAGAGGGCACTGTGCTGCAGGTCTGTACATAGTTTTTTTTTTTTTTTTTTTTTTAAATATAGCATTATGAGAAATTTATAAATCTTATCTGTAGTCATATTCCCAGAAGATACTGAGTATCCTTAGCAAGTTCCACTCATTGCTGAACTTCCAAAAAAAAAAAAAAAGCATTAGTCCACACAAAGCACTATTATGTCTAAGAAGTGAGGGAAAAATGTTATTATAAGTTTAAAGTGACAAAAAGGAAGAATTTTATGTCTAAATTTGTCACGGACAAAAGGGTGTGAGATTTCTGGTTACATGTTTTTGTGCATATTTGCTTTATTAAAAATCTTCCCTTCAGAGGCTTACTAAAGATACCTGTCTTTAAGACTGTGGGAATTTCTACCACTTCAGCTGCGCAAGACTTTTAACAGGCAGGCAGGGAGGTGACACCAGAGCATTTGTCTAGGTTGTGCTGGTGTCTGTTTCTCTCTGGATGTCTAAGGTGTTCTATGAGTGTGTTTGGTGGATTGGCTGATTATCCAATCATGTGTGAATAGCAGACTGGTACCCTATGTTTCGTCAGGTTTTGAATTGAATCAAAATCATTATTTGGGTCACAGCATTTCAAAATATGAAAGAAATAGAACATTTGGAGATTCTCTGCAAGGCTCATTTACTGTTTTAAAAATAATTTTATTAGTTTTTCTCATGTGTTTACTTTGTAGCTTGAATAACATGATATGATGCTAAGTAGATTTAAAAATGAAGGTTTAAGATGCATCTGTTTCTGAGCTGGGTTAGAACATTTTAAAGGCTTTCGTGCTTTTATAACAATGCAATAGTCTTTGATAATATTGTGAAATGAATAATATAACCTCTTATTGGAGTTCTTCAGTGGTAGTGAGGCGAGGTATTTGATTTGTCCACCCAGCATTTCCTTAAGTGCAGATATTGCTATCTACCTTTCCATATAGTGCCATAGACACAAAAATTTATTTTGAAGAAATTGACTTCATCTTTGAAAGGGTAGAAAATCTCAGACTTAAGTATTAGAATAACTTTATAGGGGTTGGCCTTTCTTTTGTCTCTTATTTATCTTCAAAAATAGATTTCAGATGCCAAGCAGTAGTGTCACATGCCTTTAATCGCAGCTCTCAGGAGACAGAGGCAGGCAGATATTTGAGTTTGAGGCCAGCCTGGTCTACAGACCAAGATCCAAAATAGTCAGAACTACACAGAAAATCCCTTTCTCAAAAGAGAAAAGTTTTAGAGATTTTTTTTAAACTGTTGCATATATTTGCCATAAATACTAATGTGGAGATTATGAATATTTAAAACACAGATGGAAAATTAATATATTCCACATTATCTACTTGGTTTATCATTTTTAAAGACCATATGATTTCCCAAAGTAATCAGCCAGATCTACTATTACTTATAACCACCATAAACTCCTTCATGTGGCATATTACATTGCCAAATCTTCTGGAAGGCATTAGCTCTGAATTTAGAACGTATTAAGCGTGTTAACATAATTAGGTCAAATCTCTTTCACTTGTCTTTCTCCATCCCATCTCCTTTTCTGGAAGCATATCTTCTCTTTCACTTCAAATACTAGAGCAAGATGAGATTATTAAAGATCACTGGTCTCACACACCCAAACAGCAATGTGCAATTGTCTTCTCCTCTTTTAAAAAGGTACAGTTTATGTCAAGTGAAAGAAGACCACTCTGTATTTTATTTTATAAAAGCACATGTAAAGTACTATTGGATTTTGCTTCTGAAATCGGGGGAACAGTGCCTCATCTAAGATATGCAGCCCCCTCTGTGTTACAGTACTCCCTTTGGAGTGCAGGCACACTGCAAATACCTTCCCTTTGCCATGCTAAAAGTATGATTCCACACAAGCCAAATGGTAGATATTTGTCTAAGAACTATCCCCTCTGTCATATTGTGACATATTTAACTGTAAAAACAGTTGTTGCTTATTATTACATTTTAATTGAACTGTTTGTCAGTTTCTTCATTTACTAAATTTGGCAAGTCTAAGCAAAAGTGCATGAGAATGGATACTGAAGATTTCTGTGAATGATTCCAGGAGTCCTCCATGGCTCAGAATCTGGAACCTGGAGAATATGAATATGGATACTTGTCTTATTTGGTGGCATGTTAAAAAAATGGAGTCGTGAACTATCATCCATGCTGACATATGATTTGAAAACAGAAGCAAAGGGTGGAGCATTTTTAAGGGTTGTGGAGAGATGACTCAGAGGTTAAAAATAAAAACAGCCTTCACAGTGGACCAAGAGTCAATTCCCACCATTCACATGGTAGGTCACAACCATCCACAACCCTAGTGCAGGGGATCTAATGATCTTTTATGACCTCTGGAGGCACAACGCTGGCATGTGATACATAGGCAAATTACATGCAAAATGCCCATACAAATAGATATAAAATAAAAACAAATAAACCTTAAAAATAATAAAAAGTAAGTAATAAAGTCAGTTGCACTGGAAAAATGTTTGCCCTTAAAACATAAAATAGGAATAAACTTCCTTGTGTCTTAATACATAGGAACATAGCGCTATAGATACATGGTGAAGCCACTAAGGCAGTGAGCTCACAGTATATGTCTAAATTTCATCAACATATCAAGTTAACAAGTTAAATTTAGCAAGTTGAATTGAAAAATCTCCACTTACAAATTTAACAAGTTATAGGAAGCCAAGATAAGGGAATTGTTATCAACAAGGCAAATTGATGTCTTTCTTGAACCATGCCTGAAGGTTCCAAGTTAACATCCTCATAACTTGTGCTCCTATAACAGAAACATTTCATGCAGTTAAATCTTCAGATACGGCGATTAAAAATTCTTTTGGCTTTCCTTATCCCATTCTATTGTAAACCACATGCAGAAGTAAATCATGATGATATATCAATGATTTTCTAATAATTCAAAGTAAGTACAGATATGCAATGCTATTATAATTTCTTTGCTTTCTCAGAGGAATTTTTTAAAGAATGTTGTACATGTAAGAACAGGAAGAAAAAGTAGGATCAATTCTGTGCCTTATTGGTTTTTTCATCAAGTTTCCTGAACACATGCTTGCAAGGAACATGATTAAACAATTAACAAATAAAAATAAAACCATCCTTAACTTAATTTTTGAAGTTTAAATGCAAATAAAGTAATATGCTTATACAAAATAACCTCACATAATTATATCACATAGTTTAAAGCATACAAATATGAGAATTATCTATATGGAAGGACCTTGCTTGGATCTTGTTATTGTAAGCTACAGTAATAAAAAATATGGGAACTATATGTAGATATGAAATATGCAATATAACATAATATAATAATTCTTAAATATAGTATGAATACATGTCTATGCATGTGTGACATCAATATTGATGTATGTGTGTAGAGAAATGAGTTTAAATGGAAAAAGATTTGTAATGGTTAGCACAGCCTAGAAGCATAGAAAATATGCAGATATAAACTGCTACTTCATATATTACTGGATATGGAGTTAGTGTGCAAGATAGGGTGAATCTTTAAAGAAACTATTCTTTGCTATGAGTATCACTACAAAAGAATACAATATATTATTCATAACATGCACATAAATCTATTCCTCATGAAATAAGAATTTACATAGAAAAACAAAAAAAAATCTTTCCAGAAGAATAACTTTTAAAAATGTCTTCAAAATATTGGAAACTTAAAGATAGCTTATATCATAAGGCAATGAACATCAGAACCAGAGACCACTCAGGTATAATCACATTGACACGAACACAGCAAACGTTAGTGGTGGTAGGTCAGACTCTGTGACAAAAATCTCAAGTGAAGGGAACAATATAAACTTATAATATGATGAAACAAAGACAGTCAGCTTGTGAGAAACAGAGTTAAGATTGTGATTATGTATGCTGACATGAGGAGAGGTGATGATAACACCAGATTTCTATAAAATGTTGACATGCTCAGATGCTTATCGCTAGAGTTGTGATTACAGTTTGTACTCACAATACAGATGTTGCAAGTGAGCATGACAAGCTTTGAGTTAAAATACGATAGCTTTCAAAGTGAAATAATTCCCATTTTGAACTGTCTCCAAATTCAATATATACATTTGATTATTTTTAAACTTTCATAAATTGTACAGAAATGCTCAGTTTTATGCGTGGCTTTTATTCCAT